GTTTCATTTTTTTAATAACTTCTGTCATCAATTATCACCCATTGTGATAATAGAAGATCTGCTAAGAATCGAGAAATGTCGTAAGAACCTCAACATAAATTCACTGTGGATGGCTTAGCAATTAAACCACTTTCTATGCGTTTTCGTCTTAGTGAATTGCTTTCTCTTTTAATTAGAGTAGTAATTATGATCAGATTCATTCCGGCGCGCAACTAATGCCTCGAGTGTGTTGTTTTGTAAAAGATCTCTCTTTGTGTTTATGTAATTCCTTGAGGTTTCACCGATGTATTTCTTGTGGCAATTATTATAGGGTATAGAATAATTTCATCCTTCAAATTTTAACTTATTATTTTGTTTTTTATTAACAAATTTTTTGTTGAGTTTAGACAAATTCTTTTCAATTCGAATTTTGATAGATTTGGTGAGTAGAATAATATATTTTGATTCGTTGGGTTTATCAGTTTAGTTCAATCTTCTATTTTGAAATATTCTACAAGACATTTGTATTGAGTTGAATATTTTGTTTTGTATTAATTAAGTCTTTTATTGTTTGAGAAATAGTTGTAAGAAATTTTATGTTGAGTTTAGATAAATTCTTTTCAATTTTAATTTTAATAGATTTGATGGGTAGAATAATATATTTTGATTCACTGAGTTTGTCAGGAAGGTTTGATCTTCTATTTTGAATTAAATAAGTGGGTTTTAACGGACTTGAAGAATATTTCCACAAAATGTTCTAATTTTCTCATTGCCAATAAAAAAAACAATTAATTCATTAGTTAATAAATACTGAAATTTTCATTAAAATCGAATAAATCCCCAACTGTTGATATTTTTTTTTTTAAATCTGAGGATCGGGTTTTCATGGTAAAGTGTCTATGATGCTTGGAGGTGTTGTGGGAAAAAGAAATAAAATCAAAAAAATGAAATAATAATAAACAAAAATAAATAAAATTTTCCATGATTCAATTTCTGAAGAAACCGGAAAGGGTTTCCGGTCACAAGTGCGATTTTATGACCTCACTTCCGGAAAAGACAGAATCGTTCTCTTTTTAAGCTTGTTATATTTTATTACTGCAGAACTGTTAAGAAATTGTTCTCTGGAGCAAAGCATAATAAATTTGCCCAACTGAAAGGAATATGGTACAAGGCCAGGTTTAAAGTAGAAGTTCCAGGTGTAAATGGAACTTGTGACAAAATTTGTTCACTCTCTTGGGATTTCAATACGGGGATGTCTCAGATGCCAAGGATTGCCCTAGCTCTCTCTGTTAGGAAAGGTACTGTCTAGGAGAGCAGTGTCCTAGAGCAGAGGCTATATGTATTGTGGAAAATGAAATAAAACAAAAAAAAAAATCAAATAAATAAATAAATAATAATAATAATAATAATAAAGAATAAAAATAAATAAATAAATTTTCCATGATTCAAATTATAAAGAAACTGGAAAGGGTTTCTGGTTACAGGTGCATTTTATGACCCCACTTCAGGAAAGGACAATCTTTCTCTTTCCAACGAAATCGTTTGGATGTTTTTTCAGCAGCTCTACTCATGATTCGGTCATCCTAACCCAGCGCGAGGCTGACTTGAGATCGACCCTCTTTACCCGTTCTTATCCTTACTTGCCATGAATAATTTCTGAACCAAAAAAGGAAAACGGACATACTCAAGGGACATTTAACGTTGTTTTAATACAGTCATCATAAAAGGAATAAACGTCTGTAGCAGAAACTCAAGTATTTTTGGATGTTTCTTCTACACTTTCTGTGTTTGCATATTGAACTCGCACCTTCACCTAAAAAAATACACACAAAATCCACATACTTGTTAACATCCACAGTTTCACAAATTTTTTATGAAATTAATAGTGAAAAATTGTAAAAGTAAAGTTAATTATCAATTCTTTAAAAACATTTTCTAGTTTGTTTTTCTTTTAAGAATTTTTTTTACACCGAAGTTTAAAAGACGTCGTTGCAGGCGACGAACTTCTTCGACATGAAATTGTTTATAAATTTGTCAAAAAATAATTGTAATTTGTAAAAGTATCGCTAAAACATTTTTAAAAAATCTGTTCCACCATATTTTTCCAATTTTTATATTCCTCTTGATGGTGTAAGAAACTTAAGACAGTTTATTTAAAGTTTCATAAAGTTTTTCATAGAAAAGATGTTCTTCTCCAACAGGAATCAAACGTGTAATCCTCCTAATGGGAACCACCATTTAATCTGATGTGATGCTAACCATTTAGTCTCAAAGAAATACCGGGTTACCAAGGTCCGAATTACTGTCTATGTCGGAGAAGCATTATTTTCTACGAAATTTTTCGAAAATTCAGGACGGTAAATGTAATTAATACGATTTATTTAAAAAACGGAGCATGTACTTAAATAAATTATGTCTATTAAAAATAACGTACAAACAATATATATATATATATATATATATGTATATATATTAGATTGGTTTGTTTTTACAACTTATCACCATTTTACCGGATATTTAAAAACAGAAAATATTTTCGGTTGTAAAAGCTTTTTTGAGATAATAACGATTTACTGATACAAATTCTACTAATGAACCCATAGCTGGGAGCAGAAGGCGTGGATTCATACCTTTCCCAATGCTATTTCCACGTAAGAGAATAACTCGAACCCAATCGGAATTAGAAATCGCCTATTCTGATTTCCAATTTCAATTCCATTACATCATCGTCACAGCCAAGCTTACAGCCCTTGTTATTCCCTTGAAGCCATTCTCCTGGAGGCTAGCATCAGTCATGTTGAAGGAAGGCTAAAAAGCTTATCTAAGACGATTAAAAAGAGAGCAGTTTCGTTTTGTAGGCGTTAAAATTAACAATCCATTTGTTGACCCAGAAAACAACAAATAGTAGTTGATTTTTTCGATGGGCTGCAAATTTGGGGTTATTGAACCAATCAAACTTACCAGTAAGCCACAAGTATGTAGTTGTAGTAATTAATATCGATATCGAAATTTTTTAGCAAACTTTCTAGCGTCAACCGATAAAAATTTGGACCTGCAGGTTTTATCCAATGAAATAAGTTACTGGCCAATCTTCTGGTGTTGGAATATCTGCTTATTATTATTATTGATATTTTTATTTCCTTTCATTTCTGGTGTATACTCATTTCTTTCCGGGTCCCGACCAGAGACCTAAGGTCAGAAATGGCATCATGGCATTTTACACAGCAGTTTTGGAAAAAAAAACAACACACATATTTTACATAGAAAACTCCCTTTGTAATGTGTGGGCTGTACTCACGAGAAAAAGTTTTTGGATTTCTTTAAGGCATAGGTTTCCAGGAATCTGTTCAATGAGTCTTTTGGAATCTTTTCCGATTAATCCGAGGGATCCAATTACAACTGGAATTTTGATGTCCTGAAGTGCCACATATTTTATCTATTTCGATATCAAGATCCTTGTAATTATTATTATTATTATTAAGTTTATGCAATTAATTTTTTGTATCATCTTCATTGACTTCCGGTGGCGCACAAAGCTACCTACAGTTTCAATAGCAGGGTTAGGGTTAGTTTAGGGAGTGGATTTGCTAGCATCACACCCATTCAGCCTCAGTTACATAGATTGCATGTTTCATTTTCTGTTCGAGATTACCGCACTTGTCTGCCAAAGAAATTTTACTGACCACCAGATGGCGTTGTCAAAAGTAGTACATTTTAGCCACAGGATACCATAAAGACAAGACATGTCTTACTTACTTTCTTTTTTGTGGGAACTTTTGACCGCCAGCCAGCCTAATATTACTTGACTACACATTGATATAATCTAATATAACTCTAACAAACGAATAAAGAAACTCGTCTCAAAATGTAAATCGATCACAATTTCATATAAACTTAACGCACACATACATACGCATAAGGGCATCTTTATATACATGCGCATAAGGGCATCTTTATATATACCCCTTCATTCACTCCTTTAGTATTCTTTCCATTTTAGTTTGTTCAGGAATAAAATATGTTATGGTACGTAATTATTGTAGATTCTTTTTTTCACATTTTAAAAAATAATAAAAACGTTAACAACCAACACCTATAACATAGACTAGTGTTTAACAACCTATTTTTCACTAATAATTGACAAGGCTTCATTCAAATTCAGACAACTTAAGACTATTACTACTTGGTGGAAAAGCAAGAGAAATAAGATGAAAGAAATACTAGTGAAAAATGAATAATAATTGACAAGGCTTCATCTAAGAAATTCAGACAACTTCAGACTATTACTACTTGGTGGAAAAGCAAGAAAAATAAGATGAAAGAAGTAATTCAAAATTTTATAATATTTTAACGTGGCAGTTAATCTCGCTTTAGAACATGGGTAAAAAAAAAGAAATAAAAACATCAAAAAAGGAAAAAGTAAGACGAAAGATAAAATAGAAATGGAAAAACATGTAAGGGAAAGAATTAGTCACACTGTTTATTCAGTATTAGAATGGTACATATATAAACAAGGGCTTCCTCACTGATATTGCAAAGGGCGACAATCGGAGCTTAGAGATAGATTGTTTTTTTTTTTTAATGGCGGATCTTATTTTTGATGGATTCCGTTTGTAACATTTCAATTGCATGTTTTTGATTTGGTGTCGAAAAACTGAAGTATCTGGTGCGCTCGAGTTCCGTTGGCGCCTCGAATAAAAAATAGTTTAAAAATTTTAAAATTAAAGAAAAAAAAAAAACAGGTAAAAAGATGAAAAACAAAAAGTTCAGTGAAGAGGCACATACAAGTTGTTGTAGTAGTGTGTTGACCTTTGAACTTATTACATTTTTCATTATTTCATTTTTAAAATGGTTGATTGTTGTATATATCCCGTGCTTAACTGCCATAGATGGAAATATAGAAAAAAAGAAAAAGCCCAAAATGACGACAACGACGACGACGACGACGAGAAATTAGGTAATCCTGATCGTTCTGGTGACGTCATTATGACGTAACAGCGACAAAGTTCGAACTGGTCGTTCTAAATTTGATCGCCCAACTTTGTTATTTTCTCTGCTTCTGTTGTCAGTTGATGGTCAGTTAAAGGTGGAACCCGGGTGCTGAGAGTCAGTGGCAGGCACAGGACAGGGGTGGGGTTATTTATTTGTAGAGGACGGAGGTCGGTCAGTCCGAACAGATGCCAAGAGACTTGGTCATCGAAACAGCGCCGTACCTGCTGGACATCGTTGTTGTCTGAATTAAGTACAGTAGTCTTGACTAGAAAAGGCACATTACACTCAAACACTAAACATTTCTGAAAATAATAAAAATAATAATGGTTAATATCCTTAAAAGAAAAAAATGTCTATTTCGGATCACTGTGGAAAATATATTTTTCGTGTTAAAATTTATGATGGTTATTGAGAAAGAAATGAAAATTCGTTGCAATTATTTTTACTGTGAAATTCGTTGCAATTATTTTTACTGTGAAATTCGTTGCAATTATTTTTACTGTGAAATTCGTTGCAGATATTTTTACTGTGAAATTCGTTGCAATTATTTTTACTGTGAAATTCGTTACAATTATTTTTACTGTGAAATTCGTTGCTATTATTTTTTACTGTGAAATTCGTTGCTATTATTTTTTTACTGTGAAATTCGTTGCTATTATTTTTACTGTGAAATTCGTTGCAATTATTTTACTATGAAATTCGTTACAATTATTTTACTATGAAATTCGTCGCAGCTATTTTTACTGTGAAATTCGTTGCAATTATTTTTACTGTGAAATTCGTTACAATTATTTTACTATGAAATTCGTTACAATTATTTTACTATGAAATTCGTTGCTATTATTTTTACTGTGAAATTCCTTACAATTATTTTACTATGAATTTTGTTGCAAATATTTTTACTACGAAATTCGTTGCTATTATTTTTACTATGAAATTCGTTGCTATTATTTTTACTATGAAATTTGTTGCTATTATTTTTACTGTGAACTTCGTTGCTATTATTTTTACTATGAAATTTGTGGCAAATATTTTTACTGTGAAATTCGTTGCAAATATTTTTACTATGAAATTCATTGTCCAACGATTTTTATCATGAAAATGTATTATCAATGATTTTTATTATGGAATTAATATTGCCAAGAGATTTTTCTCGAATCTCTTGTCAATTGGAGGTTTTTATTGTTCACCTACCTTTTTTTGTTTCTATGTTGGCAAGATTGTGTCAGCAGATTTAGGCTTCTGCGGCAACTTCCTCACCGCCGGCCTCTTCAACAGGGGCCTCTTCAGCAGGTGCTTCCTCTGCTGGAGCTGAAACTTCTTCAGCTGGGGCTGCTTCTTCATCCTCTCTTTTCGGTTCGTTCTGACTTCTCACTTCTTTCATATGTTCTCGGATTTGACGATCTTTTTCTTGTTGTTGTTCTAACTCCGTGGTTAATTTCGAATACAGATCTTTTCTTTCATCGTAACTTCGGTGATCTGTGAGACGTTCATATTTGCTGTGAAGCATGATTTTAGGCTGTGAGAAAAATAGAAAACTCTTATTACCAAGTGTACATTATTATTTCAAACAATGGCAAAATGAAAGGCACATTATACTCAAACATTAAACATTAAAAAAAAAAAAAACGGGGACGGAAAATGTTTCCTAAGTATCACCAACGAAAAACATTTTTTGAGTTAAGGTTTATATCGATCGGAAATAGACGTTTGGAGATTTTTAAAAATCCGACTTAATCTGGTCATTGCCCACGAATTTTGCTATGACAATGCATTCGACAATTATTTTGTTTCTATGAAAATGCAATGGCCAATGATTTTTACTACGAAAATGCAATGGCCAAATTTTTACTATGAAAATGCATTGGCCAATGATTTTTACTATGAAAACGCATTGGCCAATGATTTTTACTATGAAAATGCATTGGCCAATGATTTTTACTATGACAACGCATTGGCCAATGATTTTTACTATGACAACGCATTGGCCATTGATTTTTAGTATGAAAATGCATTAGCCAAGGATTCTATTATGAAAATGCATCGGTCAATAACTATTACTATAAAAATGTATTAGCCAATGATTTTTCTATGAAAATGCCTTGCCAATGATTTGTAGAATTAAAATGCGCGCGCACACACACACACAGACACATATATTTATTATAGGATATTACATTGAAAACGTCAGAACCGCTACACAATTGCAGTCGTGTTTCAATGCATATCAATGCATCTCATCAGGCGATTGTAAATTACTGCAAGTGAATGATTTATTTAGATTTAACAGCAAAAAGAGGTTGTATTTTTCTTTTAAATGTAAATAAATCATTCACTTGCCGGTAATTTACAATCGCTTGATGAGATGCATTGATATGCATTGAAACACGGCTGCAATTGTGTAGCGATTCTGACGTTTTCGACGTAAATTCTTAAAATAAATAATATTGCTCTACTCTGTATTGAGTCCTCTTTTAAATTAAATGTTACGTACTCTATTTGTCTTCATCTTAACTGTATATAATAGATGGCCACTCGTATCCTAGGATACCCGTCTACTAGGGCCGCTAGCCAATTCCTATTGCAGATTCTCACTCAGGCACATTTGTGTTTGTTCAACAGCTACAGAGTCAACCTGTGGTTTATACTACAACTATACTGAGCAGACCTTAGTTTCTGGGAGACAGTTTGTAATCTAGAATGATCAACAATCTGAACAACACCAGCGCACTCAAACCCTCAGTCACGATGACTTGTGACTCCGTGCTAGCACAGATATCGAGCCCCCTCCCAAGAGTTCCGTTTTCCCAATTTCACTCACAAGGCTTGGGTCAACCCGTGGTATGGTTTTCAGGCACTTTCCAAAGATGCCCCACGCTGGGATCGACCTCGATCCAATCGGATAACACCAGGAAGACTCCTTCCTGACAAATCGTTCATGGTTTGTTTCGAACTCGTATGTCATGGTCAGAAAGCTAACGTTCTAACCTGTCGGCCACTATGTAATAGATATAATTCCATTCATAAAATATTATGAATCTGATGAAGTCTTTTTGAAGGCCGAAACGCGTGACATAGGACTCTTTCCATTTTGTATTTAAATGCTTTACCAATGATTTTCTTTTACGATGAAAATTTACTGTAAATATGGGATGAATATGACGGCACCCTTAATTGTGGATTTTACCTTTGGTTCATGGAATAATGGTAAATTCTTTGAAAAATAGATTATTTTATTTCATTATTTTGGGAATCAGTTTGTCTCACGTAATGGTGACAATTCTTTCATTTCGCATGAGACAATAATCAAAAGAATGAATAGAAATTTCTACTTACTGGGCACCCTGCATATTTATCAGCCAAGTGATCGAAACTGCAAAAGAAAAAAAGATACTGTTTGAAAGAAAGATCGATAATTGATAGGTTATAGTAATTTCTGTTTAGTTGTTTCTGAGACAAACCCCATAAATATCTTTTTGCTCACGGCCAACCAATTTGACACTCAGAGCCGCAAGAGAAAAGAAAAAAAAAAGGAAAAGGAATTAAGAGAAGGGATAAGTAGACGAGAAGAGGATGAAAAGGAGAAATCACCACACACACACACATATATATATATATATATATATATATATATATATATATATATATATATATATATATACGCAGACCCACACAAGTAGAAAAATCTCTCTAACATTAATAACTAGCCCATAAATTAATTTTTAACTTAGTATACAAATAACTAAAATGCGAAACTCCGCAGTCAATTGCTGAAATCTCCTGACGAATAGACAGAACGATTAAAAACGGTTCGTCTACGAAACTCTGGAGTCGAAGTGCTGAATATAACATCAATCAGTTGAGTTGGACTGATGTTGTTTCAGGTAGAAAAACAATGAAAATTTCATGGTCACAGTTTCAGCAGTTAAATGAAAGCCACTTCAAAAACCTTGAATTTCTGGGTGATAGAAAACTTTAGAAATTGTCTACAAAAATCTATGGCAAGTAGAGTCCACCATTTGAAGGATGTCATTTGTAAAACCAAATGAATAAAAATTGTAACCCTTTGTTTAAACAACAGTAAGATACGTTTTTTTTTCTTACCTATGGACGTTAATGGGTATGTCCCCATTCAAATAAATGCAGTAGTAAATACTGTATGTTGGTCTGCAGTTGGAGGTTCGTCCCCGGCTGTGCTGGTCAAACTCTCTGCTTCAGGGCAGAGAGAATGTCCAGACGAAACTATGTCGAAGGGCAGCTGCCAGACCCCGTTTTATACGGGGTTTACGGGGAATTTTTAGACGAGCCTACGGGTTCGGATACCTCACTTTAAATTCATCCTTGTGCCATAATTGACCGCGTGGGGCGGTTGGTAGATATCCTGCAGTTGTGGAATTCATTTGACTCATTTCTAGCAGTTGACTACAACTTCTACGCGCCGCTGGCGGATCTTATATGTGTTGTTCTTGTCCTAAGTATTATTGTTCATTACTAAGCTTCGTCTGATTATTCTATTCAGTAACCTTCTCTAGGTGTCAACACTTTTTGTCAACCTTTAAAATGTGGGAGGTATTTCTACCGCAGCTTGTATTAAAAACAAAGGAAAGACTCCTCAACTGGTATTTAATATAAATCTTCCTCTATGACTGTGAATGCTGGACAATTTCCTCATGGATGAAGAAAGACTTGTAGCAATAGATATGTGGTTCTACAGAAGGATACTGAGAATAACATATAGGGAGCATGGGAGCAACGAGGAAGGTTTAAGAAAATGAAAACAAAAAGACACTTCTACTGAAAAAAAGAAAGGTACAGTGGAAATTTCTAGGGTACGTAATGAGATAGGATTGGTATTTTTTACGGCTTATCAACCCTTTGTAGGTTATTTAAAGCCGAAACATATTTCGGATTGTAAGAATATTTCTTTTTTTGCGAGTGAATATTTATATGAAAATAACAAATGTTTTTTTTTCCAAATACAAGTCGTACTATTTAACCCATATCCAGGGGAACGGATTTATACCTTTCTCAAGTGTATTTGCGCAAAAGGGAATATAACAAAACCGACTGGAATTAGTATTCGACCCGCTGACTCCTCATTCTAATCTGCTATTAATGAGGAAAGAAGGCCTAGAAAATTTCACACTAACAGGACGTGTTGGAGGCGAAAGCTTAACACTGAGGAATTTACCTAACGAGCTTGTGCAAATGGCTGACAAAACAGGGTGGGATAGTAAAAAATGCAAACATTGCTAGGAGTTACAAAGGATAGGAAGTAGTGGAGTGCCTTGATCGCCCGAAAGGACACGGCACTTAAAAGTATACAATGCAAATAGTTTTGTAGGTTCTATTCTAAATTTAGTTTAGAAATCTTTGTTTTATTTCCTGTAAATATATATTTAAAATCTTTGTATCTTCATCTCTTATTTGCCCTTCAAGGGCGTGGGCGAACATGGCTCTCCACAACTTCCCGTTCTTTGTAGCTCTCAGTAATTTTTGTCTTTTTGCTACCTCTCTCGTATTCCCTGTTCTGTCAACCATTTACACGAGCTCGTTCTTCTTCTATGTGCAATGGATGTCCTTAGCAACTAGAATTTAGAAAACATTTTTTAGGACATTTTGCTTTGTTGTTAATAGTTACTTTGTTTTTAATAAATTCATTTCGTTTTTGCCTTGAAAAAGTCCGCATTGGACGAAACGCATCAGCTAATATTACAGTTTACCTATTGTCTTTTACCTTTATACATATTGCCTTTATCTACAGGTAGGGGTATGGATTTGTTTGCCACTATGTAAGTCACATGGCGGGTCCTAACCACGAATGTTAGACATGGTGGAACCAGGAGATGTAGCTCGTCCGAGCACTTTCCATGGAAGTAGCAATAGAGTAGTGAGAGGCTAGCCACATCCAGCTTGTGCGAGAGAGGTTGGGATGTAGAAAATAATTCGTCACCCAAAAGGACTCGTAGAGACTTGAAGATCCAAATATGACAACAGTGCTCCATTTTCGGTCTGATCTGGCTCTTGTAGAAGAGTATAGAGTTTGGTGGTTAACGGAGCGATCAGATAGCCGAAAACCTTTTTTTTTTTTCTGCATCTTTGGCGATAGATCATATGTAAGACTTCCATTTGATCTCAGGAGATCGACACAAAAAGATGAAAAGAAAAACAACTTACGAATCATCTACTCTCTGGATGTCACTTCCAGTTTTCTTGCCCTTGCTGTAATTAAAATAAATGAGGAGTAGTGTTAGCTTTCATAGACATTGATTTTTGTTATAGATATGAAGTGGCTATTATGTTTACTATAGAATTACAGTGAAAATAATTTTTATACAGAAATTCACTAGCAATGATTTTTAATACAGCAATAGTGAAAATTTTTTATATAGGAGATTCATTTTACTATAGGAATTTATTGGATATTATTTTTACGATAGAAATACAATGAAAATGATTCTTTTACTGTAGAAATTCATTGGCAATGATTTTCACTACAGGAATACAAAAAATGATTTTTTTTACTGTAGAAATTCATTGTCGATTATTTTTACTATAGAGATACAAAAAATGATTTTTTACTGTAAAAATTCATTGGCAATAATTTTTTACTTACCCCTTGCTCATCTGCCTGGCTCTCTCGGCGAGTTCAATAAGCTAAAAAATAAAATAAAATGGTCAATAATTTGATTATATCAATGGAGTTACCTAAACTGTTAGATATAGAAGCAAATGTAAATCTATTTCCTATTATTGATGTCTAAAGGATAATTTTGACAGCACATGACGCCTATACTTTATGAAGTTGAGCACGGTTTTAGATTGTCGGCAAGATCTGATCATATTACAGTTGAAATGGTTAGATGTAACCGTAAGTTCTATGCTAACAGTTCCTTTTATCACACATCTAGATCCCGGCTTCTTACTTCCCTGTCAACTTCGATCTTCAAAAATCTTCCCTCGTTAATAGTACAGGGGAATTCAAAAGTAGGTATACAGTAATAAAATAAAAAATGTGCGCACAAAACTTATTGTATTGATTATACAAAGAGATCAATAATAAACATATCAGTCCCTCAAATGTTCAAACGGTTTGCACCCCACCCCGTCATTCACACACTCGTCTTTACCTGAAAAGTATTATTACTATTATTTTCACCTTTAATCTTAGAAAGCGGTTGCATACATCTGACAGTTTATATATTTCTAAACGGGTTTTGCGCCATACATGACATCCATATGAAAGTCTCGATTTGACTAGATTATTTAAGAACATGACTCGAGTTTCCAGGTTGATGTTTTGGTTGCGTAGCAATTTGTAGTGTTGAGCAAAACTATCTCTGGCGTAGACTTTTCTATGTTCAATTCAGTACTAAATTTGTTATAAGTGATCCATACACCTAGGTACTTGAAATGTTTAGTATTTATTAAATCCACATTCTGAATTTTTATGATAGGTGTCATCACTGTTCTTATTTCAATGCCAGATCATAGTTTTTGCTATCTAATACCGTTTCGTTTGTGATTCTGTAGGGCCAGTTTATAAAGTTCGACGAAAAAAGATCCACAGGCTTTTCTCGCTGAAAGCCATTTTGACCATTGATCTGGGAAAGCGGTTGTATACAACTGAAAGTTTGGATATTTCTGAACGGATTTGGCGCTATGTATGATATCCATAAAGGAAGTTTTGATCTAACGAGGCTATTTAAGAATAATCCTCAATGTTGTTGACAATCCTCAAGTGATGTTTCTGCTATCTATTACAGTTTTGTGTCTATATTTCAGAGATATGTACATTATTTACATTATTCGAACTATTGTCTTCATCTTTGTCGCCATACTTATTACAACGTTTCAGCCGTTGTACACTCCGACCTTCTTCAGATGGTTGGAATGTCGAACTGAACCCTTTATTTTGCATACTGGGGTAGACTGTTCTAGTTCCACGTGTCATGTTGAATGGATGTCAGTTATCAGTTATCTCCTGTTAATTTCCCTCTCAAAATTCTGCACTGCCTTAACCGGATATTGAACTCACACTCTCATACACAGATGTCCTCAAGAACACATGGCACAGTGGATAAAGTCTTTGGTTAGATCCAGTGACAGGATCCAAAGAGTGTGAGTTCAATACAATTCTAACGCTGCAAGAACACACTGGCAAGCCTTACCAGTAAGCAAATCAAAGTACTATGGACTGGCTCAGAAACTCTCCTGTTTTAAATCCAGTCGAGAATCTGTGGCCAATCTGTAAGGAACGGCTTTGTGGAATGGACATACGTTTTTTGATTGATTCGTTATATACAGCTTATCAACAATTTGCAGGTTATTTAAAGCCAGAAAATATTTTTAGATTGTAAGATTTTTGTTTTGAGATAATAACGTTTTAGTGATGCCACAACTGGGGGAGAAGAGGTAGATTCATATCTTTCCCAAGGGTATTTGCGTGGGAGTGAATATAGAAACCTCAGCTTCAGTTAGAACTTGGCTCTCTGATTAACATTTCCGAGCCATTATCCATTACACCACCCACACATCCAAGCTTACTGCACCTGATATTCCAAAGCGGTCATCCATTAAGGTAATGATCAGGCTCGACGTTGCTTAACTTGGGGAAGATTTGTATTCAGCTCCCTCGTCTCCAGCTGGACAGACTGGGTTCTATATCCTTGGCTGGTGGCTGGTCTAGGAGAATGACAACTTTGAAAAAAAAAAAAAAACCCTGATGATCTAGTGTAGTGATTGAGGGCAACCCAATACCATACTCCGTGGTTTCGGCTGTCAGTGAGGAGCTTGGAGAGAAGATGGGCGCCGCCACGTTATCCTCAAACAATTAAAGAAGTTCCCCTCTCCACAAACGATTGAAAAAGACGAGGGATAAAATAATAATAATGAATAGTATACAGTTGTGTCAAGTGTGTAGATATTTAACGTCGGCGTTGTTAGAGTTCTTACATGTCACTAGAATCATTAATAGATTCGTGGGTAATAAGGCCAATGTATTTTGAAAGGGGTTTGTAAATTACTCACGTCTTTCTGTTGCCTCTTGTAGTTTTCCTCGTGGTCGAATTTGTCGCCAGCAAGTTTTCGTAAATGGTCATGCAATTCTTTGGCTTTTTCCTTCAGTTTCTCGATGTCCATGCCACTGATATCCAGAGGTTGTATTCTCTGGGCCAAAATGGCCTTCTTCTCTTCTTCCAGCTGCTCCTTAGATTTCTGCATATCTTCTTTAGAGGTGGGCTGAAAAGAAAAGGAAACAGGTTAGGGCTATAAATTTCAATGAGTTGTTAATTTAGACAAGTTATAGCAAGGATGGCCAACCTGTGGCGCATTGCATCCTTTTGATGAAAAAAATAAATAAATAAGCCACTTCTACTCATTCATTTCAGTGATTTTATATTTATTGCACATTTGAAACTCCTGCATACACCCCTGGTCATAAGCATATATTTTTCAAATAAATAGATTTTATTATAACTTTAAAATATGTCAATATTACAACACGTACTGAAAGGAAGTGAATGTTTGTGTGGTGCATTTAAATTAATCGTACAAAATAATGGCGCATGGAATCAAAATGTTGGCCACCCCTGAGTTATAGCAAATAAAATACAGTAACATTAAATCGGAAAATTAATTTCGAGGATATGTAAAGGGTCGTTTAGATTTGAGTCTATAATCTGTAAGCATTTACATGGTAAGGAATATATTGGAGGTTTTATTTTCTCTGGTTAAAAATAAATATTAGTTGGTTGCTTTTGAGGATTTCATCAGTATTATAATTATTACCTTAAATTTCAGCTGTTTTTTTTTAATCATTTTGTGTATCTTAAAGAACGAGAGTGGCTTCTTACCTCCTTTGGTTCGGCACCCTCGCCGCTTTTCTTAGCAATAACATAGTTGGGTTTCTTGGGTTTAAGCCTCTCCTCAGCGTCCTTCTTCTTCTTTTCGCGTTCCTCCTTCTTCCTCGATTCCTCTTCCTTCTTCTTCTTTTTCTTCTCTTCCTGAAATCCGGGATAAAAGAGAACATCACAATCATAAGCATCATCTCGTATTGAGATCTATTTCGACACGGATCATTACACACACACACACGCACACACACGTGTGTGTGTGTGTTCACACAGATTTTACTATAAAAATGCATTTTATAGTTTGTGAAGTACATCGGTTTGATGTCCAAGTATTTCACAATCTATAAAACGCATTTAGTTAGTAAAATTATTTGCAATGCACTATTTTATAAAAAGTTTTTGCCTTTTTGTTTGATTTTATAATAAAAAGTACATTGTCCTATAAAATGTACTTTTATCGCAAAATCATTTGCAATTCAATTTTATAGTAAAAACCATTGGTCAATGCATTTTATAATAAAATCATTCGCAATGGATTTTTATAGTAAAAATCATTTATTATGTATTTTTATAATAAAAATCATTTCCAATGCATGTTAGAGTAATAATCATTTGTAATGCATTTTTATAGTAAAAATAATTGACCAATGCGTTTTAATAGTAAAAGTCATTGGCCAATGAATTTTTATAATAAAAATCATTCGCAATGCATTTTTATAGTAAAAATCATAGGCCAATGCATTTTAATAGTAAAAAATCATTGGCCAATGATTTTTTTTTGTAATAAAACCAGTTGCAATGTATTCTATAATAAAAATCATTGACCAATGCATTTTTATAATAAAAATCATTTGTAATGCATTTTTATAATAAAAATCATTTGTAATACATTTTTGTAATAAAAATCATTTGTAATGCATTTTTGTAATAAAAATCATTTGTAATGCATTTTTGTAATAAAAACCATTTGTAATGCATTTTTGTAATAAAAACCATTTGTAATGCATTTTTGTAATAAAAACCATTTGTAATGCATTTTTATACTAAAAAATCATTTGAATAAATTTTTATAGTAAAAATCATTGGCCAGAAACTTTTTATAGTAAAAATCATTGGCCAATGCATTTTTATTGTAAAAACCATTGGCAATGCATTTTCTATTGTAAAAATCATTGGCCATTGCATTCTCCCAGAAGATTTTGCTCAATTTCTTGCTTACCTCCTCTGCCTTGCGTCTAGCCTCCTCGATCTTCCTCTGCTCAGCCAACCTTTTTTCCTCCTCGGCCCGTTCCTTCTTACGTTGTTCCTAATGGAAAAAAAGAAATAAAACATTAAACTTCTTTTCAAATGGTAGGCAAAGATTAATGTACGGATGCACAGATGTGAAATAATCCTTGTTTTATTGTTTGGTGATCCTGACGTTCATAACCTTTATTTTCTTTTTAAATAAAACATAACTTAGTCTGACATTGAGATGCCCATACATTTTAGACTATCGACCGCTTCATGGGATACTTGATCGCTTATCGACCCCAAGCATGTAAAATAAATAAATAAATAATCAATAATAATATTTCTTTTTTTTTATTTAAAATAGAAATACATTTGTGACTTTTCCGTTGTTTCTGGAAAATATTTATTTTAGCTTGTTATTCAATTTTCAGTTTCTATTTTGCAACAAATTATGCAGCACTTGTTTCGATTACTTAGAACGATTTCTTCGCTACTTATACAAACATAAAAGAACAATCTTGGCAATAATATTACTGACAGATGGCTATAAAAATGACACTGCTGATTTTGTAAGGCTTATTTTAGTTATTTTGCAATTGCATTAGTTTTCTGCTTGAATAATCTCTACAATTAACTTTATCGTCATATTTAAGAAAGAATCCTGCTTGTTAAGTTTGTTTTTGATCAACTCACTCCAAGCAAGGCGATAATGCCACTAAGACACAAGGGGCTACTGGAAATGGAAGCGAATGAAAAGACTTTAGAAAGAACTGGAAACTTAGACCTAAACAGGAAATAAGTGATAAAACTCAACTCCTGTTCAAAAGAAACGGAGGAGTGTGAACCGGGTGATAATCGAATATATCTACTCCTATTAAGGACAATAATTAAATAAATAAACAGTAAATAAATATGAGAGTTTAGGCTGAGACAGGAAGCAAGGTATAAACCTCTACTCCTGTTCAAATGATCGGAATGGTGTATAAAACGGGCGATAGGTGAACCTATCTACTCTTATTGAGAAAAAATAGTAAAGAAAATTTCAGAGTTTAGGTGGAGACGTTAGAAGTATAGAGTTGAAGTAGACTTTAGAAGGAACCGGAAACCCAATCCTAAACAGGAAACAAGGGATAAACCTTTACTCCTATTCAAAAAACCTATCTACTCCTACTGAAGGAAGAAAATAAATAAATAACATTTCAGAGTTTAGGTGGAGATGTTAGAAATATAGAGTTGAAGGAGAATTTAGAATGAAACGGAACCACAGTCAAAAGAAAGCGAATACGAACCATACCGTTACAAATGAAATCAATATTGAAGCAACTTTGCAATTCCATGGGTTATATTTTCTGCAAGAGTAATGTAGGATTTTTACCTCTACTATTAAAACTACTGTCAAAGCAAACAAATCGTTAAAAATAAAAAATAAGCCAAGAATGCTAACATGAAAAAACAAAACAATAAAATAAATAAATAGTAATGTATTAGTACCCTGGGTACTCCTTGTTTTCTAATCATATACTATGGCGTCAAATAATTTTTCCATTCCCCATAACAAGGAGCTCAGACTGCGTAACCGTTACATATATTGCCATATTATATTTTAAATTACAGAAGATATCATTTTATTATAATACTAACCAAATACCCTTCATACAAACATTTCTGTCAGTAATAATTTTAAAATAATTAAATAGATTTTTTTTTATTTATTTACGGTAACTGCCTCACTCGATTTCTGTCGTTCGATACTGTGCGTCTGAAAAATAGCCGCTATATCTTGATTGCCATAGCTTCTCAACCTTTTAGCTCGGAGAGGTTCAAATAATTTTAAGCCCAATCCCCAGGGGCCCTTCTCCACAGGTAGTACCTCTCCTTCGGGAGGGGGTTGGGTTTATTGCTTGGCACCTGAGGCATCCCCAAAAGGATAAGTGCCTAGCGGTCTTGGGCAATTTTCCCACCATATTGCCGTTAAACTCACTTTAAACCTCGACCTTGTGTCACATTCGGTAGCGACGCGAGTGCGCTGAAAAAATTAAACGCTCCTCGGCATTTTGGTTAAGATCAAAGTGTAGTATCTGTTTTTATCAGCTTATTCTGATTTTTTTTCTGTTTCTCTTTATTCAGTCTATCTTCCTTTCTTTAATTCTCTCACTGAAACAAAGTAGTGCTTTCCCCCTCTTTCCACGCGATCAAAACGAAGTAGTTCATTATTTATGAAGTATTGGCAAGGCGTGGCGGTCGTGCGAACTAACGAAAGGTGGGACAAGCAAAATAATAATAATAGTAAAGTATTTGACATAACTCTTCCAATATTTTTCAGCACTTAGAGGGGGTGCGATTTAAAAAGAAAAGAAAGAAAAAAAGACACAATGATATGCTGGTAATAATTACATATGCAAACTACTAACTTCCCACAAGGGCGGGCCCTACACGTAAGCTACCAATCTGCCACTGGTTGGCATGCCACTAGCGTTTATCGCTGTCGAACGACCGGTGTGTTCCTCTCGGCAATGTTACCACTGGCGGACCGCTGGCGTTGCCATCGGCTGGCCACCAGCGCGCCACTAGCGGCTTGCTTGTAGGAAAGAGACTTCCATAAGAGTTATACTTTTTTTAAAAATCATGTCACCATAAGCAAGGCAATAAAGCCACTAAGACTCAATGGGAGATAATGAGCGTGAGAGAATACGAGGAAAAGAAAACATTATTAAGGAGAGGGAACTATAAAATAATTATAAAAGGATCCTGTAATATCTCATTAATAATGTCATTGGGCCTTATAAATAAGAATATGTTTTATATATCTTATATATAATGTTTTAGTAATATCTTATAGTAATATTTTTTTTTGATCTATATATATTTGGTCTGTAATTTTGGTAAGGAATTGGCATCAAAGACTTACTCTCCTCAATCTCAATTGCCGGATTGCTTCTTCGTCCTTCTCTCTCTCGGCTTTTCTCATTTCTTCATATTCAGCCATTTCCTCTTTTTGTTTTTCGAGGTTCCTCAGCTTTTTGGCCTGGACAAAAAAAAAAAAAAAATGAGTCAAAAGCAGACAACGTAGAAATGTTGAAAAGTTTATGCATCTTAGAAAACCAGCGAGTGATACGTTTGCATCGCCAGTTCCAGACACACACACACACACACACACACACACACACACACACAAACAAAAAACCTAAGTCACACTAAATTTAATCTGGGATCTGTTAATTTACCCCAAATAATGTAAAGTTACTTATCGTAAATATTAGTTCACCCCAAGTAATTATAAATTTTAAATCAGAGGGTGTTTGTTATTTTAAACAATTTTTGACACTCTTTCATGTTGTATATTTATATTCTATCAATGATTTCCAACATGAGGCGCCTGACCAACCGGATGGGCATGGTAATATTTTGGTGGGGTATGCGTAGGATGTGCACCATTCGGCTTACTCTACCAACAGAATAAGGGGGGCAATTCATGATTAAAATGATCAAAGTATATTACAGAATAAGTTTTTCATTGAAATATTTTATATTTCTGCCTTTCAGTTACCATAGAAAGAAATGGCGGCCTACTGCAGGGAAAAAAATCTGCCTCGTCAGTTATGTATTTAAAAGATACATGACTGTCTAAATGTGTATCACGTATAGCACACAACTGACTGATTATGTTTTGAAAATATAACTGTCTTTTCGTTTTTGTAATTTTTCTCCGTCATGGACGCCATGGTCTTTGGAGACTTGTTTAGAAACCAAGTTAATGGCCTTTTTTTTTAAAGATTCCTTCATGTGAATTGCAGTCAAATTTTGAATAAGTAAGAATTAAATATTACAGTGAGTGGGGCACCAGAATTTTAGACATACCAAAGTGGAGCATGGCCCCAAATCGGTTGGGAACGACTAATCTGTAACAAACAATGACTTTTTGCATAGTTAGCTCCCTTTAACTCCATAATGTTTAATTTCATTGGGGACAAGAAATAAAAATACAGTGAAGTAAGACACACGAGTATATGTTATCTATTCTACCATTGTAAGACTTAGTGTCTTCCTCACAGGTCCAACGTCCCGCCTCGACTTCAGTAAGTCTTTTCTTCTTCTTGTCTATCAAACGCATAACATTTTGAAATTATAAATTAAAAAAAAAAAAATCAAAGTTTGTTTATATTTTTATTATATTTTTGACACTCTTGAAATTTAGCGTGGAAACACGCTAAAGCACAATACACACACACGCACATACAGAATATTCACACACGCACGCACATACAGAATATTCACACACGCACGCACATACAGAATATTCACACACGCACGCACATACAGAATATTCACACACACACGCACATACAGAATATTCACACACACACGCACATACAGAATATTCACACACACTTCATCCTTTGTACTGTTTCCATGTATTGTAACTTGTTATTAATATATATTTATATATACATATATTATCGGTCTTGTGTTTTGTTTGGTTTCTTTGCCTTCTTCTTTGGACTTAATCAAAGTCCAACCTTTTTATGTAGTTGGGCCCGGCGGGCAGGAGTATCTGAACCTTACTTGCGTTTCTTCTACGTCTGACTTCTATCAACAACATAACAGCCACGGCCCTCTACAAATTATAAATTTTAAATCAAAAACTTTTTTTTAGCTTTCCATGGAGTTGCTGGAGTTAATATGAAAATGTAACGACAAGGAAAGTGGGGGTTCGCTCCTTATAGAGATTAAATAGTCTTTCTACGTCGATGAAATACGCTAAAGGACACGATGTGAGTTTGAGCTTAACACATCGACAAGGTAGGTGGCGGTGCCGTTTCAATGAATGTCGTGAAGAGATGCCGCTGAAGAAAGGAAATTGGATCCAAGGGTCACGACTTCCCGACCATAAAATCATATTTATTTCTGGTCAAATAATATAGTCACTATAAAAATTTTGTGAAGAACTTGAGGTAATACATTTTTGAACAAATTTTTAATGACATTTCTAAATATTGGTGTGGATTTTAAATATAAATTGTTTTTTATTTCGGGATGAATTAACGGAAAAGATCCTTATTTTGTATCAAGTTAAAACAATTCTTTTTTATTATTATTATTATTATTACTCTGTTTATTTGTCTTGACTTCGTCGCGTATATCTCAGAAATAAATTCAATCATTCTGTTCACAAAGGGCTCAACTGAACCTATGAAGTTAACCTCTTTCTCTAGAAAGACAACATTTCAGTTTTTTGTTCGATCTAACAAGAGGTATTTATAACCAATAACTGTACGGAATTTTCTTGTAGAAAGAGTTTTAAATAATCCACCGTTTCAACTAATACATTCAACCTTCATCAGGTATCGACCGAAAACATTGTTAATAATAGTAAATATATAAAAAATGTATTAAATTCTCAGAATAATATTTACAATAGCATTCTTATCTGAAAATGTGGATTTTAGAAAACTTTGTCTTTTTACATCAGTACATACGTCTATTAATAAGCCATTTATTACGATCAGTTCTGGAATAGGGTAATTTTGATAACATTAACCGGTTGATGATATTAACAGAATATAAACATTGAAGAAAATTTACATTCATTTTATGCATAATTTGACGTTATAAAAATTAATAGAAAATTGAAATAATTTCAATTTTAGATATATGGGACAGACAGATTTTGATAACATTAACTGTTTGATAATATTAGCTATGATTATAATAAACGATTTTTTGTAAATTTGGATAAACGTGCCCACAATAAGACACAGTATCAAAAGGACGGTTTTTCCCATGACACCGCTTTTTTTTTTTTTTTTAACTACCTTCACTCTTCGGCAATGTTTATTGATTTTAAAATGGTGATTAGTAATTTAAGTCCCATTTACTTGACTTCAGATGACAATTTAGAAATTATAGATATAAGAAAACATTTTTGGCAAACATGGATAAACGTGCCTGCAATAAGACAGTGTCAAAAGGACAGTTTTTCCCCAGGACACCACTTTTTTTTTTTAAACTACCTTCACTCTTTGGCAATGTTTATTTATTTAAAAAGCGATGTTTAGAATTTTAACAAAACTTAACATATGAAAGTGAATTAAGACATTTTCTTTGTTCTTGTGAATTGAACAAAAATATTAAACACTATTTATTAGATTGTTTATTTAAAAGTGTGTCCATGTTTGCGCGATTTCTTTTGTATTAACCAAAGAACAAAAAAAAGGGGAAATGTACCCACCTCCATCTTCCTCTTGGCCTCATCCTCACCACCGCCGAAGGATCTATTCAAGACACGGGAAATATATAAATATATATATATATGTTTTTTGTGATATACAAATTATTTCAAATAAGAACAAAAAGCTTTAAATAAAAGAAACAAAGTGGCAAAAAATTTTCGCCGTCAAATCAAATAAGCAAAAAAGCAGAAAACATTTGCGTCATGATACAAAATTTATACTTAAGAAAATTTCTGGAAAGGAATCGCATTTTAAAACACAGAAAACATATTTGCATCATGATACAATAATACAAACTTAACGAGAAAATTTTATGGAAAGTAATTGCGTTTTAAAACGCAGGAAACATATTTTGATCGTGATAGAATAATACATAGTCAAAGATTTTCATCAATATAAGACCCGAGAGCCAGTCAAGGTAGAGGGTTACTGAGTGAGGTTGTTGTATGAGGAGAATCGCAAGCGAGAACTGGGTAGTTTCAGTTCAGATATGATAGCAATCCTCCATTTTTGTATTGAAACAATATACATTGGTTCAGCAGGAATGAACAAGAACTGGCATTAATGGGACAAAATAACCAGCCCTAGCAATGGATACCTGATGATAGCCAGGGGGTAATTGACCGAAACATTTTGTCTTCAACAATAGGTATAATAATCAAGGTTTTCTTTTTCTTTACCAATGCGTACGATGGAACGTGAAATAGTATCACGTGAAATTAGTTTACACCATTTACACGGGTGAGGAGAAACAAAGAAATTTCGGGCTGGGGGAGGGGACTACACCCTCGTTGAAAACAGGCATAAAGAAATATTTTTTTTAATTTTTCCCTATATTTTTCTCATGTAAAAATATTTTAACGGTAAAATATTCTTTTTAAGATTATCGACAAAAACAGGCTTGGAATCAATTTTTGGCAATGGTTAACCTTAATAAAAAAGAAAAGAAGGTATTTACATTATTTACCTTGTTCGGATTGTTGTTGCCATGTTCACGAAGCTCCGGCCTTCTTCATGTCATTGGAATTTCGAAGTAAACCCTTTATTTCGTCTACCAGAGTAGATTGTTCTAATTCCATGTGCCATGCCTCTTCCGGATGTCTCAGTTATTTCCCTTTATCTCAGCTTTCCAAAGACACATGGCCCAGTGGATGAAAGCATTCGTTGGATCCAGTGACCTGACGCAAAAGGTTGTGAGTTCAATACCTGGCTACGGCAGGGGTGAACAAAAACTTGGAGAGTTGAGTTAAAGGGAGATAACTGAGACATCCGGAAGAGGCATGGCACGTGGAAGTAGAACAATCTACCCCGGTGGACGAAGTAAAGTTCGAAATTCCAATCACCTGAAGAAGGCCGTAGCGTCGTGAACATGGCGACAACAGTCCAAACAATGTAAATAATGTAAATGATTACAATACCTCATCTCAGAAATACAGACATAAAAAAGATGTTATAAAAGGACGGTTTTTCCGTTGACATCGCTATTATTTTATTGTGCCTTTATTCCATCGGCAGTGTTTATAATTCAATGGCTATCATCTACCAACTGATAAAGAAATAAATATGAACTTTATTTTTTTTAATTTATAAAAATTTACTATATTATAAAAATATATGAACCGACTATAATGAAATCTCTATTATTTACCGTTTTATAAATTTCGAATCGATTGGCAATTAGCTGATGTCTTGCCAACCATTCCAAAGGACATTATTCAGAGTTTCACCAATTGCTTTTACCAAGATGCTTAGTGTCCATTCTTTATTGACTAACTCTTCACCAGTCAGGATTTGGCTGACAATAATCTGTTGGCATATTTTCCAGGTATTTTTAGAAAAATTAACAAAAAATATTTTCAAAAAGAATAGGAAGTTGCGGGTGGTAACCTATTGTTGTAACCTAGGGAAGGTTACTGAATAGAATAATCACATGAAGGTTGGTAATGAATGATAATAATTAGGACAAGAACAACACATATAAGATTCGCCAGCGGCACCTAGAAGAAGTAATCAACTGCTAGAAATGAGTCAAGTGAATTCCACAATGAATCCAACTGCAGACAGCAGACTCTCACATACAGTATTCACTACTGTATTTATGGGAATGGTACCACTATTGTCCGTAGATATGATACAACACCTATAATTGCTGCAGTTTCAGGTCTTGGATTTCTATCGATTAGGCATACTTGACTTTAGATGACGATTCTAAAAAAAAAAAAAAATAAATGGACGAAAGTATGGGGGATCCAGTGAGGATCGAACACACTATGCAGTCGTAACTAATCAAGCGAAACAAGCTTATTGATAATTAAACCACATCGAAGTGGCCAAACACGTGCACATATAGACCAACATATCACAAATAAATAAAATAATATTATTACAAGACAAATTTTAATATATAACGCCAAAATATTATTAGTTCTGGGTATGACGATAAAGTGCATCCAGCAGCAAAGTCCCCTGATCGGGAGATTAGAAATTTTGCGGACCGTGAAACCATCTCTTAATTGCTGTTGTTCCCAGATCCACCCTGACCCTGAGTGGTAGCACCTGTTAGAGTCCCAGCTATGGGCAAACAGTGAACAAAACAAACAAAACCACTATGAAAGTATAAAATACATTTTATATAAAAATTAGCAACAATACATATTATATATATATATATATATATATATATATATATATATATATATATATATATATATATATATATATATTAGTAAATATAAGATTGTCCACGTATGCTTTTTATAATATGTAGGTATATAAGGATATTTATAGAGAAATATTTGTATAAGAAATTTGAGAGATAAAATTGTTACATACTGTACCTATGAACAGTAATGTGTGTGTCCCAATTCTCATAAAATATGTTGGACACTATTGTAAGGGGGTATAATATGCTAAGTAGTCCACCACTAGCAGTGGTTTACCTACTTCACGCCGCTGGCGAGTATTGCATTTTGTTGATGTTATTCCTCATTCAGTAACCTTTTCTAGTTTACAACAAAATAATGAAAAAAACAATAATGATAATAATTACTAATACTATTGTATATTAGTAGACCTTTTGACCAAACGAAAGAATGATGAGAAAAGACGCCAACAAGCAAAATTTTCGGACACGCCTGTGTTCTTTCTCAACAAGACAAGAAATAAAAAGTGAAGTGGGACTTTTTTTAGGGGGATTTTTTTTTCCGCATATATTTTATTACTGAAGAGATCTGATAGTTGGCACAATTAGGCTTTTTAGTGGTAATATATAGCAGTTGTTTATAAATTAAAACCTTAAATTATTTGTTGATACTCGAGAAACCTGAAAAAGAAAGACGTGTTTTAGTAATTGCAGACATTAAAAAAATGCAGACGACAACGTGAAATATTGCAGACGACAACAATAAGCATTGCAGACGATAACTATGAAAAAACATTACCTGGTAATCATTTTCCACCTGAAATTAAAAACTTTGCAATTATTAAAAAAAATGTTTTATTAGATGATTAATAATTAGACTATCTACGTTCAAATCAGGCATGTTCATTTTTATTTTTATCTGGTTAGGTGATTTTAAAAAAAAAAAAAAACTACGTGCTAAGTTATTTTTTTTTTCTGTTAAGTTAATTTTTTAAAAAAACTACGTGTTAATTTTTTCTGTAAACTTGTTAACTCATCAGCCAATGAATCTATGGTACTTTCATTTCGGTTAGGTTAATAGATTTAATAAAACCCGTCAGTTATTAGAAACTTTCAGATTAGTTTTTATTTATTTAAGAACCAGCCATATTTTTCTGCCAGTCATTCCTTTTTTTTTTTCGTTTAGTCATTCCTTGGAATTAAATTCTAAATTCGATTTGTAGGGTATACCTTTTTATTTCATTAAATATTAATGTATTAATTTTTTTAAAGTACAGGCATTTCTTTTCTACCCATTAAAAAAATAGCGAAGTGTTTTCAATTCGCAGACTTTGCTGAAATCCATTCGTAAAGATATTCTTCCTCTTCATGTTAGTTCTGTCGTTTATTATTTTAAATATTAGTGTGACGCTGAATAGGACTGTTCAGTACGTACCGTAAAGGGTAGCGTGAGTATTTGCATACGCTTATTAATACGTCCGGTTCTGCGATTGTGAAGCGCCTCATAAATAAATTTACTCGTGCCTTCTTTTTTCATTTTTTTTTGTTTTTACCAGAATTTTTTTCACGGTAGTCAGCATAGCAGATTCGGATTACCAATTGAGATTGATTCGGACTATTTATATTAAGCCTAAGCAGCCTTACCTCTATAAGTAGAAGGAATGGCTTTCTTTCATTTAAACAGATGAGGCCATAGAGAGCCGATGCGAAACGCGTCTTTAATAAAAGATTTTTTTACTTTGTCTCCTCATCTTCACATTCCCATGATTGTGAATAGTTAGGAGTTTTTATCATAATGTGATGGTTAACAAGTTAATTTCGTAGAGCCGTTTACAATCGCAGTGAAACCTCATTGGGGCCCCACTATGGAAGAAAGCTTTACTTATTAGCCAAAGAAATTATCGTTAATAGTTGTTGCGTCTACGAAAACAGTGCCTTATTTTCCTTTGTGGTGTTTGCTATTTAAGATTTTATCCCGTGGATATTATTAGTACTAGAGACGGGTCTGGAAAAAAAGAAAAGAATAAAAAGGAATTTGATGTTAGTTGGGATACTAAAGCTATTACAAACAAATTCTAAAATACTACATTTTGTTTTTTTAAAAAAGAAAAGGACAATTAAAAATAAGCAAACTATTAAAAATACAACCAAGTTTTTAAAATGTCTTTATATGTAAATTCTCAGGCTTAGTGTCATTGATGACGCTTGCTAATAACCTCACAACACAGAAAATATCACCATCTTATATCGTGGATGTTACAAACCCAGATGATCGTGTGCAGTTGGGAGGCTTTTCAGTAACCGAATCTAAGCCCTAGCATTGACATGAAAACTTTGCATAGGGCAGGGGTCGGCAACATGTGGCACGCCAAGCAATTTCCAATCGCAGACGAAAATGACA